CAGCCGCCCCCCACCATGAAGAACAGAGCAACTGCTCAAAGTCGCCCTCTCTCTTCCCCTCCACTTCCCCCCTCCGATCTTCTTTGTTTCTTGACGGATTTGCGGATCGAGATGGCCCTGAAGAAAGAAAAGTAAGCTCTTTCAATCCCTCCAACAAGTTTTAATCAAACACCTTTCGATTCGTCGCATTATTCGTTTGAAATCACTCCTATTTGAAAAAAAATTAACCCCAGGATTGATTTAGGTTGATTCTAGATGTTATATTGTGTTAGATTTGAACTATATGATGGATGATGCATGTTCCTATGCTATGGTTGTGTTAAGATGAACCCTAGTTCATAATTGATTTGAATGGTTTTTTTTATATGATGGATGATGCATGTTCCTATGCTATGATGCAAGTATTGGATGATGCAAATATTGGAGATGAATATTTGATATATTTGTTATATGTAGTATATGAATCCTCAAGATGAACCCTAGTTCATTTTTTTTAACAAAAAAATGAGATTATGCATGTTGGATGTTGTTGGAGAAATATGTGTTATGATGCATTGAAACCATGGAGATTGCATCTTCATAAAAGTATTTTATTTAGTTTTTGATATATGTATTGTATTTAGTTCATAATAATCTTGATATATGATTATTTAAAGATTGAACTCATAGGTTCAATTTTTGTTATGCATCGATGTGTTTCGTAGTTAATGTTGAAAAATCTTTTGATGTGCTTATGCAATTCTTTTAGGAGGCCACCTCTTGCGGACGACATCGGCACAAAGTACACAATGCTTGACCCTAGGTTCGACAAGCGTCACCATGCCCGTCTCATTGAGAATGGAGTGGTAATTAGCATTTTAAACCAAATCTTTCGAATTGATGAAAACAAGTTGCTAACTATTAGTGTCCATGCTAATTATGCTTTGGTTATTGATTTTCACAGATGCTGCCGCCACTGCGGATGAGGGCTCACAAGACGACGGTTAAGATGGAGTACGACGATCGGTACGCATCGTTCTTTAGGAGAGCCCGACTATTGGGTTTCGTCCTGCAGTTCAAGCGTAAGCCGCCGACGCTTGTTCACTCAGCTCTCACGGCTTTGATCGACCGGTGGCGGCCAGAGACGCACAACTTTCATCTTCCATGCAGGGACATGACCGTGACCCTCGAGGATTGGGCGATGATTACGGCACCACCGCTGGAGGGTCGTCCTCTCACAGGAAGAGTGGAGAGGGCGAACTGGCCCGAGAGGGTTGTCAGCCTCATCGGTGACTGCCCCGCCGCTAAGAGCAACCGGACTTCCGGCATACCGCTGCCATGGCTCCTCGAGCACCGGAGGAAGTGCCCGAAAGATGTCGAGCCCCGGGTGGTGGAGCAGTACGCCAGGGCCTACCTATGGTACATTCTCACGGAGGTAGTGTTTCCGGACTGCTCCGGGAACTTTGCCCTATGGATGTATCTCGACTTCCTGAAGGACTGGGATGCGGGGTACAGCTGGGGGGCCGCCGGACTTGCCTACCTATACCCTTCGGTAAGTGAATATCACTTTCTTTCAAATATCAGACATGTGTAGATTTATATTTTGACATCTTATCATCTATACTTGGTTTGTAGCTTTACGATGCGACCAAGAGAGCGGAAGTCTCGTCCGGTATGTGTGGATGTGTATGGGGCCTCTCCATTTGGATGTGGGAGCGAATCCCGGTGGGCTGTCCGGAGAAGATGCGCTCGCGTGCATGGACGAACTATGGCGGAGATGACGAAGATGACCGGTACCCGACCGTAGCATACGCTTGGGACGTGGTGCGTGTCTTCACGGGCGAATCGAAGGCCTTGTACAAGGTCTTCATCAACGAGCTTGATGCTCTCACGCCTTTCCAGGTATAAGAACTACATTTTCACTTGAGCTTACCATTGTTTCGATAACACTTTCACTTGAGCTTACCATTGTTTGGTTATAGGTTACTTGGCGGCCGTATAGTGATGATCGAGAGTGGGGGTTCGAGCTGAACAGAATGTGCAAGCAGGACCGGCTGCTCTTCCGTTGCATCGTGCCCATGATTTGTGTCTGTCGTGGAGTACCATTTGCCACAGCGCGTTGCCGCACAATTTGGTAAGGCGCAACACACACCACCAGCCGACATCGTCCGCGATACCGGTGGCTACGACCTACAGAAGTGAGTACCACAAGTCATCCTCGTCGATTCTAAGTTCTTGTTTTGATGCTTTACATTCATAAAAGAAGGGTGTTTTACATTCTTTCTTACG